CCTCCTCCTGAGGGTCAGCCTGCAGAAGTGAGGGACTTCTCGGGAGCTGGCTGGAGGCAGACAGGGTACTCCCTAGAGAGCCAGCTCCCCGCACCTCCGGCCCAAGGCTTGTCAAGCCCCTCATGACTTGGGCAGGAAGAGCATTTACTACTAGTTTCTTTTCTTTTTAGTCATCACTTCCCAGGACCTTCTCTCTGCTCTGGGAGTCTCAGGCTGGCCTCTGGCCCGTCAGGGCAACCCTGAGCCCCCCTCTCAGGCTGGCCATTTTCTCTGGCATCCTCTGGTGGGGAGTATCCTTGTCCTGGGCCCTGCCTGTCCTGCCCACCAGCCCTGGCTGGACCTGCCCCAGCCTGGATAAAGAAAACCTTCTGCCTGAAAACTGAGAAGGCTTGAGAAGTGGGGCCAGGCTTCCTGCCTCACCTGCCTAGCAGGTTCCTTCCACACAGGGGCAGGTGCCATCTCCCTCCCTGAGGCAGGGGATATCCCTGGGGGCCCCAGGAAAAGCAGAGTGGGAAGGCCCAGCTGTGCCCCTGGGAACTTTCCAGCCCTTCTCCTTCCCCAGCCCCTGGGCGCCCAGCACCTCTGGGAGCTGGGCCTGTAAAGGGGACCATCTCCAGGAAGATGGCAGGTATTGGCTGTCTGGGGCTGGTGACTGGCCTGCAGCAGGACAGAGCTGAGGCCTGAGAGCTGGCAGGCAGGGCACAGAGGTCCTTCTCCTTCCTGATTCCCACTAGCAGCCCCCTTGTCCCTAGCGCAGGCTGGGCTGGGGCTGGGGCTGGCTGCCTCACCTAGGCCAGCACAGCCAAGGCGCCCATAGATGCCTGCCAGTCCCAGTGCTCAGCCTCCTGTGTCTACAAGCCAAGGGACACCAAGGATGGTTGGCACCACCAGGAGCTGGAAGGATCCTCCCATAGAACCTTCTGGCGAGGGTGTGGCCCTGCCAACACTTTTTTTTTTTTTTTTCTGCCAACACTTTGATTTCAGGTTTCTGGTCTCCAGAATGTGAGAGTATACATTTATGTGTGTGTGTGTGTGTGTGTGTGTGTGTGTGTGTGTGTGTGTGTGTTTAAAGAATAGTTTATTGATTTTTAGAGAGGAAGGGAGACGAGAGAAACATCAATGTGACAGCACATCAATCAGCTGCCTCCTACAGGCTGCCTACCAGGGATCGAGTTTGAAACCATCATGTGCCCTGACTGGGGATCAAACCAGCAACCTTTCAGTACATGGGACAACCCCAACCAACTGAGCCACACCAGCCAGAGCAAATTTATGTTTTTGTTTTTAAATATATTTTATTGATTTTTTACAGAGAGGAAGGGAGACGAGAGAAACATCAATCAGCTGCCTCCTACAGGCTGCCTACCAGGGATCGAGTTTGAAACCATCATGTGCCCTGACTGGGGATCAAACCAGCAACCTTTCAGTACATGGGACAACCCCAACCAACTGAGCCACACCAGCCAGAGCAAATTTATGTTTTTTTTTAAGTCACCCTGTGTATGGTACTTTGTTACAGCAGCCTCAGGAAGCTATTACACGTATACAATCCCCATATGCAAGTACACACACACACACACACACACGTGCACATGAACACATTTACAAATGCTCAAACACATTCCTTCTTTGCAGCAATATTCAGTGAGTACTTCCTGCCTGTGTGCCAGGCCCTGTGCCGGGCAGTGGACAGAACTGTGCTCTCGTGGAGCTGACCTTCTGGGAAGGGGCAGTGGCCCATCTGTACCCACCTTACCATCCAGAGGTGTATGAAGACCTGCAGGTGATTACATCAATACAGGAGGAAGGGGGGCAGGGGACAGCCAAGTGAGGGGAGAGGTGGGGAGGATGAGGAGGGACCCGTGGCTTCTCCTGGGCAGGCAGGTCTGGCAGCCCCACCCCAGGCACCTGGAGCCAATGTATGTGTCTACACACACACGTGCACAAACACGCACACATGGAGGGGCTGGCTGGGGAGGTTCTTCTAAACCACCAGGGGGCTGGCAGAGGTGAGGCCTCACAGCTCCTGCAGCATAGCCTGACCTGTGGTTTGGGGGGGAGCAGCATATAAACAGAAGCGGCTGGCAGGGAAGGGACAGTCCAGCTTTAGGTCAGCTGGGCCTGCTTGGCAGAGTTTGGGGTGGGTGGCCATAAGCTTCTGAGAGAACGGGAGCCTGGAGGGCACAGGGTCTGAGGACTTTGCTCAACCGTGCTGGGGGCACAGGCAGCTGGCCGGGGCTGACTCTATCTCAACCTGGGTCGGGTGCTCCAGCCCAAATGGAATTGCTTTACCTCCTGCGCTGGCTCCCCACCGCATCAGTCCAGAAGAAACCGCTCCTTTGCAGGACTGGGGAAGGATCCCGCATAGACCTTCGCGCCCATCCCCCCCTGTGGTCCCTGCCAACAACGGGATGACCTCTTGGGGAGCTCCAAGCATGCCGTGTGCCTATGGGGCAGCTGAGACCAGGCTGGGGAGCTGCGAGGCAGGTTCCAGAGCAGGAGAGTCGCCAGAAGGAGTCAGTGCATCCTAGGCCCCGGCCGGCACACTGTGGGGGCTGCCAGGGGCCAGGGCGGGGCTCCGGCTGCGTCTCGAGGTCCCGCACGGGTCCCGGAGCCTCCGGAAGC